AATTAGAATTGAGAAGCAAATTCTTTTTTTTTTCATGTTCCTACATTGTTTCTTCTACGTATTGACCGAAATGAAATCGCACTATCAAGTGAAAAACCTTAAGAAATGGATTATATGAATATATGAAGTTTTCAGGTCTGACTTTCGCTATTGCATAAATAGCGCTATCTACTGCGAAGGATCGTGCATCATACGTAAATGGATTAAATGTAGGTAAGAATAGCTGCCGATTTTGTAGATTTCACCGTCGCTTAACTATCGAAACAATTTTGCATATGCAACTTTCTTTCGCTCATGTTTCATCTAGCGTTCGATTTCGTAAAGTAATTTGTAATTATAGCTTTTATAAAGCCATTTTTGTTTCCTTTCGATCGATGGAAACAAAAAGATGAGAAACCCAATGGCCACCGATTCGGTAAATAGTTTTGCCATACATGTCTATCGAAGTAAATTTGCATAAACATGAAAACAAATCTCGCTCTTCTCGTGTTACTTAACGAATATCATTCTGTTTTCGTAAGGTAATGCGAGCTCTCATGTCTCAATATCTGAGTGAGAATTCTTCTAATCGAAGACCTTCTCATACCAGAGATTTGCAAACAATACGTTGTAGCGAAGACCAACATAGCCACTCGATCGAAGCGTGATTGATTTTCAACGGGTGCTTCTTGGGGCTGTTTTATACCGATGCTCTTCAAAAACGTTGAACAGAAGCAAGTAACCGTTAAACGGATGGATTTTTTTTAAACAGATAGGTAAACCGTTCAAACGTTTTGTCAAAAACGTTCAACGGATGAGCAAAGCATTTAAACGGATGAAGAAAGCATTTAAACACTTTGATGATCCGTTTTAAACAGATAATAGACGGATAGTAAACGGGTTATTTCGTTAAACGGTAAAGCGTTAGTGTATGAAATCCTGTGCCCGGTCACATATCACATGTCAAACATCATAATCAGACACGGGATTTGAAAGGAAAACTTGTTTTTGCAATTTGTGCTAGCAACTTACACTTTCAACACCAAAAACAAAAGAAAACTTCGACTCTAATTCATCTGCACTTATTTTCAAGGACTTTTCAGAAACTATTTTCAAGGACCCAAGTCTAAATTCAAGGTATTTCAAGTCCTTGAAAACAAAAAAATAAAAATTCAAGGACTTTCAAGGACTTTAAAGGAGTGCAGGAATCCTGAGAGTTACCTGAGAGAAGATGGGGGTTAATGTGGTAAAACTTGGCTAACTTAGGGTAGATGGGAGTTAATGTGGTAGAACATGACTAACTTAGGGTATGTGCAGGTTAACAGGGTAAAACCTAGCTAAATTGGGTAAGATGGGGGTTAATGTGGTAAAACTTGGCTAACTTAGGGTAGATAGGAGTTAATGCGGTAGAACATGGCTAACTTAGGGTAAGTGCAGGTTAACAGGGTAAAACCTAGCTAAATTGGGTAAGAAACAAACTTTAAAAAAGTGGGCTTTTCAACAACGGCTTTTACAGCCAAGATATTGTCATGGTTTTTTCACCACCTGAATATTGTAGGTTGTTTGCTCTAAAGAAGGCCTACCAAGGGGGGCTAACAGGCACCCCAGGAATCCCCTGGCTATGCCCCTTGCTATGAAATGGCACCTGAGACAACTATTCAACCAGGTCATAGGAAGGGGTAATTTTTTAAAGTCATTCCTGGTTTGATACAATTGAGCAAACAATAAAAATATACCTCACACAAACCAAAAATGTCTCACCTTGATGCATTTCAACTTTTCAATGAGTCGTACAGCACAAAAATCAATAGAAAGACAGAAACAAACCTGTAGGAAAACATGACACCATCACCAGTTAATCAGGGCTCAACACTACCTTTTCAACTTACAAGCCAAGTGGCTAGTGACAACTTAGATGTTATGACAATTTCAGTTTGTTTACTATATCATTACAACCGATCAACCATTGAACAGAAAATACTGATAGTTCTTCTGTGTACCTGGACAATTTACTGAAAAACTTGAGACTAAGAAAGGGACTTTACAAATTGTTTATTTTGAAAAAATGTCATCAGTTCCATGAGACAAGTGCACCCCATGTTTTTTTCCTACCAAATCTTTGTCAATCTTCAATTGGACTGTCATCCTGCTAAGTGTAGGGAAAATTTTTATTACGCAAAGATTTGAAGAAAAACATCAATCAAGAAATTATTAGTGCGGTTTATAAACACGAGTCTTTCAGGCAAAAGACCACCAAAATATTTAACTTTATGTGACAATCAAATGGTGAGGATAAAAGATTTGTACCGCGAGATGCTGGATGACTATCACTACTTAGGATACTCAGAATATTTAACAATTATTTCACGAGCGCATGTTGGATATGAGATGATAGATAGCCAACAAGGCGCATAGCGCCGAGTTGGCTATAATCATCTCATATCCAACAAGCGCCAGTGGAATAATTGTTTTATTAAAAACGTTAAATTAAATTATTAAATTTTATTAAATTTTTAGCTCCCTTTTAATTTTAAGCTGACACGTACGCTTACCATATTTGTAGATTATGGTATATTGGCTCATATACCATAATGGCTAAGCCAATAAAAAGTCTTGAATTGCATTATCCAATGATC